AAACTGTCTTGAATGCTCTCGGCATTTGGAGAGGAAAAAGAGGAGAAGAAAGGAGAGGGGAGGAAAGAAGGCTTCTAGGAGAAGGAAGAGAGAGTAGTATAGTGTGTTGGTGTTGTATGAGTTGTGTTTTTTGTTGTGGTATTTATAGATGGGTTTTAAGACATGGTGGGGTAGGGTCAGTAATGCTAAGGAGCCAACTGTTGTCTCCGTTACGGAGCCAACAACCATTGGGACAACTCCATGTGGGACAACTCCATGTGGGGTAAAAATATCTTACTACTTTTTTTTTTTTCATAATACTTATGATCTTTCTATTATTCTTTTTTGATATTCTTGAATTTTTGTATATTTTTTTCACTTTTTTCTTGATTTTTCTTTCTTTCCTTATTTATTTTAGCTATTACAACATCTTGAATAAAAACAACTAAATCCTAAGAAATAAAATACATAATTTACAATACTTATACAATATCAAGTGTCATTACTTCCGAAAATCGGATCTTCATAGTCGTCTGCAAGGTTGACCGTTGTCTCCTTCGAGCAGGGTGATTCTTCTGGTACTTGTGATGGAGAATCAACTGATATTTGTGATGGCCCGGGGAAGAATTGAAAAGAGCTTTGTGGAGTTCTTCTGTATTTTTTGCGTTGGCTATGGCCTCTGCTATTTGTGATTTATTTGCCACAAAACTTGTTGTTGCATTGGTGGAGAATAGCTCTGAAGGACTTGTTACACTTGGTTCTGTGGAACCATGATCATTGGTCCATTGTCGAATATGATATGACTTTATGCTATTAGGAATGTTATATCTATCCCACCATTTTTCATGGAACCTTCGTCGGAGTGTTGGTATGTTTTGGTAGTCTACTTCAACTTTCCAAGACAATACCCATGAATATATATATATATATATATATATATATATATATATATATGGGTATATATAAATTGGAGGCTATCCAATTAATACCAAGACAAATTTTTCTCGCTCATTTTTTAAGTTAATTTTGGTAAAATCGTTACATTCTATATTAGTTAAAATAAATCATTTTTAAATTTTATTAATTAATCTATCATATAATACTTACAAAAATCAACTAATTATACTTCACATTAATGTTATATAGAAGTTATATAAGTATAAAACATTATATTTTAAATTTTTTTGTTCAAGCTATATATCATTCTAAAATCTATATTTATTAATATCATTATTATTTTTTTAAATAGATTATTGTTTTTAATGAAATACCCGCAAACCCCTTCAAATCGAAATAATAATAATAATAATAATAATAATAATAATAATAATGATAATAATAATAATAATAATAATAATAAGGCAAATTTGCAATTTAATACACTACCTTTCACAGTTTTGCAATTTAATCACCACCTTCGTGAATTGACAAGTTAATCACGACCTTTACCTTTATTTGCAAAACGGACCACAACTCACGGTTTCGTTTACAGAATGCTGACTTGGAACTGACGGAAGTTTTGAGGGGTTGATGTGGCTTAGCTGGAATAAACGGTGTTGTTTGCACATAGCATATACCATGAATTTTGTTGCAAAATTGTTCATTTTCGTTCGCACATAAACCCTAATTCGCTTCAAGTAAATCCTCTTCAAACTCACCTGCAACAATATCGTCTGATTCGAACTGTACTCGGCGTGCAGTGTGTTACCATGGATTGATCGCAGATGTATTGATTGCAAACACAGAGAAAAACCCATTACAACGATTTTACAGATGTCCATATCAAGATGTAAGCTTTTCGATTTCGAAAATATAATGGCTCGATATGATTGCATATGAGAGTATGGTTGTTTGGAAAATCGAACCTTTGAATTTGCATTCTCATATTCAGTTTCCAGAATATAGCCTACAACACCACAATTTCATCTCACATGGAATAATACAAGGGGATGAGCTCTACCTGACGTCCATTACACACGAAATTTCTTCTCAAATGGGGCTTCGCCAATTCCTCGCGTCTGCAATTTTTGGATTTTCGAACATTTGAAATTAGGGATTTTGGAATTTAGAAGGGGATTACGGTTTTTAAGTTATGATTCAGCTTTTAGCATTGCCACGTCAATGCCACAGCATGGTCACGTCAACCCCTCAAAACTTCCGTCAGTTCCAAGTCAACATTCTGTAAACGGAACCGTGAATCGTGGTTCGTTTTGCAAAGAAAGGCAAAGGTCGTGATTAAATTGCCAATTCCTGAAAGTAGTGATTAAATTGTAAAATTGTGAAAGATGGTGCATTAAATTGCAATTTTGCCTAATAATAATAATAATAATAATAATTCAATATTTTTCAAACTAACTAATTGAACATGATACCTCAAAATTATAAAAATTATATTATATATTACGTATTATCCAATCGATAATAATAATTTATGTATACGAGTTGTTTGTATTGTATTGTTAAGTTATTAATGAAAAAAATCAATAAAATGTGATAAGTGTTGGGTTCTATTAGGAACGATAACAACATGCACGTTTGAATTTGGCAAAATAAACCCTAACGCTGTTGAATCTATAGTTAGGGTTAGGACACTACCGTTTAAAAATTTTTGCCGACTCAGAGACGTTTCTGATTTCCTTTGGTGGAGATCGTCTGAATTACCAGAATCCGATGGGCTGACGGATCTGGCCTTTCTCGATTATGATCGAGTCGTTGAATCACGAACGGATCACCGGTTTGGGCTCGGCGGGCTCGGACCGGTTGGGTCGACTCGATCGGACTCGGGCTGACTCGGTTGGACTGCAGCTGTGCTCGGTCGGGCTCGGCTGTGACTCAATCACGGTGCGTCTCGGGTCTGGTCAGGCGCTGGTCGCGGACAGACACTGGTCAGGAAACGTCGGGACGCGCGGACAGGCGGACAGACGCAGACAGGTGCGGGATGCACGGGCGCGTGCGGGAGCAACAGTCCTAGGTCGACGCAGACTGGGCACAGGCGATTGGGGTCACGCGGGCATGCACTACACGTATCCTACGCCGCGCGTGCTTCTCATGCTGGGACGAAAAGCGGAGGAACACGAGCAGCGGTGCAGGGACGGCATGCAGGAGCGGCGCTGCGAGCAAACACTGGCGTCGGGCGGCACGCGGCTGTGTGTGGTGGGCGCGGGTGGCTTCTGGCAGCGGCAATTTCCGCCGACTTTTCGGTGGTGGTGGACGGCGGTGATGTGACTGGAAAAAGGAGATCTTCAAGGCTCGATCTATCTAACCTTAAGATCTTCTAATGTATGCTCTAAACACCTACTCTGAAAAATCTTGGTGGGCGATTTTCTGGATTTCTCGAATTCTCAATATATAGAACACTCGAAAACTCCTTCCCTTAGGGATCCTTAGTTTATGCGTGTGGAATAATGTGGGGGAGAGTTCAAGAAATGGTGTATTTATAGATTACATTAGGGACCTTAAGGAGGTGCTAAATATGAGCTTATCTTATCAGTCTAAGGAAACCTAATTCCATTCTATATACTTTCCCAATCTAGGATGGGATAACCCTAATTACCTTATAGAAGACTCCTTAATCTCCTAACCCTAGGTAATATTCTAGAAGGAATATTCCTCTCATAATGGAATATTATTTATGGAATAAAATTAATTTCTTAATCTAAATAGAATTAAATAATAAAACATTTTCACTAGAGTAATATTATTGCTCTCACCATTTAGGTCCAATTTATTCAATAAATTCGAACCTCCAAATGATTAATTAATATTAATCTAATTGACCGATTTACCTCCCTATGTTTAAGATATAACTTTCGTCGATTAATTTAATTACTGATAATAAAATTAATTTGACTTCTTCATTTCCGAAACTAGTATCTCTCAGTTCATTAATCATTATGCCGGATAATTATCCACCTGTAGGATTTGATATAATATTCATTCCTGAGCTCATTTTGGGGACGTTAACAACCCAGCGCACTGGGACATAGTGACTGTAAATAATTTATAATGACACATCATATAAACACTCTTACTTACCAAAATACCGAGTATGTCATCCTAACATAATAGGAATCACCCTTGGTAAATCAAATAAATAAGTAATGAATATATATGCCCATTTTATATTATCTTACAGCTTAAGAGTACGCATCAATTACTGAATGTCTAGATTATAACAACGATCAGTAAATCTTATCCTTCCGCGGTCTGTTCAATATTTATCATAAGTACTAGTGTAACCCATCAGTCAAATACCAATTGAATCAAGACTACACTACAGTCGTTTCCAACAGGGGTCACACTGTCTGTCTAAACTGAACAAGTAATTTATATTTTACAAGGAACCGATAATATGATCTTTCTGTTAGACACGACAAACCATATTATCTACAATATAAAATAATGGAGTTATGAATGCATAAATAAATAAACTACAAACATAAATACTTTGACTAAAACACGATTGCCTGATCAATGGTACTGTTTATATCTGAAAGCCAAGCTTTTATAGCATATCTAACAATAAGTCCATATCTAATATAAAATTTTAATATTATATACATAAATATAATTTATAACATTTTATTTACATTTGTGCATATGCACAAGATTTGCTACTAGTGTGTAAGAATGATTGAGTGATATTATTTAATTATATTGACAATATTGAGGATAGTAGAGTTGAGTTTAAGTTGATTCAGATTTGAGTTATAAAAAGTAATTGGCTAAAAATGATTAGTTATTTAAAAATAATAGTATCTACGAGGGTGTATTCAATTAAGATTTATAAAGACTTTTAAAGATTTCAGATATCCTTGTGTATTTTATTTAGATTTCTCAAGACTTTTAAAAGTCTTGAAATTCATTAGGGTTTTAAAAGAATCTTACAATATCCAGATGTACTTAATTTATTCGAGACTATGATTTGTTAGGACTTTTTAAGATTTATTAGAATTTCTAAAGAAAAAAATATATATAAAAGATTTAAGATTTCAGATAATTCTTACAAAATCTTAAATATCCAAAGTCTCTAAATCTCACTCTGAAATCTTAAACAAATACATCATTTTGTTTCATTAACTCTTCACAATGATTGCCACTAAAATTGTAACAAGAAAAATTCGCTTCGTTCATCAATTCTTCTTTCTCCACTCGCTGCAGTGGTGATTCACCAGAGGTAACTGAAAGTCCAGTTTTTGCGCAGATCTCCCCTGAAATAACCACTACGGCGTCCTGAACCAGAGTTGCAGTTAACGCACACAGTCACACACTTCCCTGGAAATGGCGAGGAGCTACGTCACGGAGGATGCGCAGTTATCGAGGTTCGGCGTGCTGGTGGCGCAACTTGAATCAATCGTGGCGTCCGCAGCCCACAAGCCACCTGATGGACTCCTCTGTTTCGATCTTCTATCTGATCTCATCTCTGCCATTGAAGAGGAGCCCAAGGTTTGAGCCGCACATGAACTGTTATTCTTATGTTATTCTACACCGAATGTTGCAGTGTTAAAAGTTTATGGTTTTGTTATTGAGTGAGCCTTGTCACTGATTAGGACTGTTGCCTTTTTGGTTATTTGCGGTGCTATTCAATATCTGTTTTGTCCGAAGTTCTAAATTCTTGGCATTATTAAATTACCGGCCAGAATCTGGCCATATCCTCAGTTTTAAGTTATGTACAGTTTGATGAATCATTGAATCTTAACCTTAGTTACATGTTTGAGTTTTCAATTGGTTAACAGAAAAGGGAAACATTCCATGGTAAGAGTGTTTTTCTATTAGTTTAAGTTTTTGGCTCGAGCATTTGTTTCTTTCCTGCTGACCTGATGGATGTTGGATGGATCATTAATTTTGAGATGAGGAGCACAGAAAGCTGTGCATTTGTTTTTCTGGCTGACTTGGCTATGCTAATTTAAGGGGTTTCTAACCACTCTATTTAATGGTTTAAAGTGTTACAAACTTGATTCTCGGTTGTTGTTGGAATCTTCTTTTGGTTCTACCCCATTCTGAATTATTCATCTTATTCGTGTTGGATAGTGAAATAAAAATTTCGATAATAATTATTTGAAATTTCAGGAATCTGTAATGCTGTGGCAAAGAAAATGTGAGAATGTACTTTATTCTTTGCTGGTGCTGGGCGCTCGTAGGCCTGTGAGGCATTTGACATCTGTGGCAATGGCAAAGATTATATATAAGGGCGATTCAATTTCGATCTACTCTAGAGCAAGCAGCCTTCAGGGATTTCTTTCCGATGGCAAGAAGGGAGAGGCTCAAAGAGTTGCTGGTTCGTATGTGCACATTATTGATATATATTGTTCTATCTAGTTGTTTTGATTTCTTTGAGATTCTTTTATTGATATATTGTACATTATATCAATAAACCTGGGTTTTGAGAGGATGCTTATTGATATATTCTACATTATTAAGCCTGGGTTTTACAAGATCTTCTTTGGTATGCAATTCCTGATGTGTGCTTACGGTGCATTAATCTGGTCTTGAGAGGATGCTTATTGTACTTTGACAATGGCTGCTTTATTGGGTGTGCATGAACTAATTCCGTGTCACATTCTCTATATATTATTTGATAATTTTCGTGACATTTTAAATGCATAGGACTTCGGAAAGCAGCAACTTTTAGTTATTTGGAGTTTCCTCTAGTATATCTTGTTAAAAAGGAATGCATACTTATGTTGAAACATTATGACTGGAAGAAATATTTTCCCTCCCTTTTTATCAAGCAGTACTTTCTTCACACTTACAGATTCATTCCATCAAATTTGATGTGAAACCTAGAACTACAGGTCTATGCTTTACTTAATTGTTACTTGTTTCCAGTATGTATCCTGGAGGCTTATACCCAAGGAGGGTGTTATCCTAAGTTTGAAATTTGATGGAAGCCATCATGAAATTTATGAATTGCTTAGATGAGCTAGTAGTGCAATTATCAATTCATTCGGTTTTGTCTCGTGTCTCAATTGTTTCCGAAATTCAATTATATTGCTTACAGAAGAGAAGGTGACGTATAATTGAATAAGCTATAGTATAATCTAGTCTTCATTGCTGCTGTTAGATTCTGAGTAGCCTTCCCTTGGTGTTCTAATGGCCCCTGGTTAATCTTAAACTCACGTTAGTATATAATGCAACCCATAGCCTCTGTTTTTTTTTTTTTTTTNATTTGTTGCTAACTATATTATAGTTAACATTTGTATCATTTATTCAGGTTTAAATTCATCGACAGATATTACATTTGTTTGTTTATTTTGTTTTCATGGCTTCTTTATAGGTGCTGCACAATGCTTGGGAGAATTGTACCGCTATTTTGGGAGACGGATTGTCTCTGGATTACTTGAAACAACTAGTATCGTTGCTAAGCTACTAAAATTTACTGAGGTAATTAATTCTGGTTGTCCTTTTCTCTCCTTTGACAGTTATGCTTTTACTTGTTATTAAATTTAGGGATATGTTAATTGAGCAATGGAAGAAAAGAATGAATATTTGATGCTCTAACTCCATTGCGCATCATAAATTTGAGAGAAAACCTGTCTGCCATAAAACTCTTCTTAATCGCTAAAGCACATGGTTGTCCCTACCCTCAAATATTATCAGAAAGTATAACGCCTCTTCTTCATTGAAACAAAACTTTGGTGTTTTAGCACGTTAAATTTGAGGTCGATGATGCATCTAGTGGAGGAATTCTATTAGTGAATGTGATGCTCAGGATCAATAAAATTCACCTCTTATGCATCTTAATTGTATTCGAGTATCATTATATCATACATATATATGTTTATGTGTATATTATTCCCGATATATGTGTGTATACACATACATGTTTGTATGCCCTTATATAATGGCAAGTTGCGATAGGATTTCGTGAGGCAAGAGGCTCTGCACATGCTTCGTAATGCTTTGGAGGGTTCTGATGGGAGTGCTGCTTCGGCAGCCTATATTGAGGCCTTCCGAATAATTACAAGGACTGGAGTAGGCGACAAGTCTTTAAGCGTTAGAGTAGCTGCTGCTAGATGTCTGAAGGCGTTTGCAAATATTGGCGGGCCAGGCTTGGGGATCGGAGAACTTGAGAATTGTTCGTCTTACTGTGTGAAGGTTCTAATTTTATGCGTCATCCATACTTCTCTGAATATTGATAGCTCTCTTCTCACAGACCTTATTCTTCTTTAAGGCCCTTGAGGATCCAGTGAAATCTGTAAGGGATGCATTTGCTGAAGCTTTAGGCGCATTGCTGGCTCTTGGAATGAATCCTGATGCACAGGTATTAGTTTTCCATGTTCAGGTTATTCTCTACTGTTTTGTGTTTATCTCAAGCTTTATAATCTTCTTCTAGGTGAAACCAAAAGGAAAAGGACATTCTACTGTTAAGATGCAAGAAGGGTCTTTGCAGAAGCACTTAGCGATGCCATTTGCTAAAGGTACCATTAAGTGCTACACTGGGGTTTATGTCGATTTGTTAGTATTTTGGTTTACAAAAATTGATTCGGCTGTTGCCCTCTGATGCATATAAACTAAATGTCAGATTTTCTTATTATTAAGATGGTTCACGTCATATTGTACATATAAATGTAGAATGTTCTTCGAATGAGGTGTTTCACTGTGATGGGGGGCAGAGTGGTTAAAATCCCTTAAGAATTGGGCAGATGATGCGAATCTTCATATTTATGTTAAAAGAAGTACCTAAAAGTACGTGTTGTGAACTATGAAATTCTATTTGTCTTTAAGAACATAAATCACCATGCCAGGAATAATGTAGGCAAAATATGGAATTTAAGTTCAGCACAGAAGGCATTTGGAACTATAAAACAACAGCTGTTGGATATCTCTCTCTATGGCTGGGAACGTGAAATTTAGGGATTGACTGCATAGCTGAATTTTTTTCTTTCTTTTACGCTGGCGGAAGTTGTTTCCACTAAGGTGTGTGTGATTGTGAAATGGATTGATTGAAACTTGAAAGGCGGTTACTTTAATAATTAGTCAATCATTGTCACTTTATGTGCACTATGATGTCGTACATGCACCAACTGGAGAGATGCATGTGTATCTTTTACTTTCTCTTTTGTTTCGTATACACACACACACACACACACACACACACACATATATATATATAGTTATTTATTTTACTTCACCATCGCATACAAAAAACAAAGAACATGCATTACTTATCTGTATTGAAACTCATATATTGTTGGCACTATCATATCCAAGTGGGCGAAGTTAAAGGTTACTACTCCTGATAGTTGTTTCTAATGGTTGTCAAACTCCAATGAGATGTAACGAATTTTGCTGTTATAACTATTTATGATATATTTTGGGAATGTGGAGTGCTTATCTCCTTCCACTATAAAAACAAATCCTCTGGAAAAAAATGTTCTGCTTGTTCATGTAACACCAGGACAGGTTTCTGTTTGTCTTCTAGAGTTGGAAGTGTTTCTGGATCTTCAACTAGAGTATTATTTATTACTTACGAGTCTGTTTATTATTATTATTTTTTTCAATATTGCTTAGTTTTATTTCTTTCACCTATTCTTGGTAAGTGGTGAACTTGCAGTTGGTGGACCTCGTTTGAAGGACTTACGGGTTGGCATCTCCTTGTCATGGGTCTGTTTTTTACAGGTATAACATAAGTTTGACATGGTTAAGATCTCATCTTTGCAGAAATAGAAAAAAAAAAGGGACTTGTCATGGTGAGACCTTTTAAAATTTAATGCAATAAGTTTGAGTATCTCTTGTTAAAATTCTCAGTAGTTGGGTATGTAGTGAAATGGAAATATATTTATTCTGGAAATTTTTTTATGGTTTGTTTTGACTTGTTGGTGTCAATGATTTCCTAATTTTGATCTTGTGGGCATTGAAATGGAGAAAACACAAATGTAAACACTGTTCTGTTCCCNATCATTAGGTGGTTGAAGGATAAATGGGAAACCTCTTTATAGTGTGAAATGGTGCAGCAAAATGTAATTAAATGAGACTGAAAAAAAAAAAGAAAAAGAAAAAGAAAAAAGATCAAGAATATATATGCTCTCTTTTTGAGATTTATAGGAAAATGGTCGATAAACATCGACCTTGTACTAAACTATCATGTTCTGTTAACTTTAGCTTAAGATCTTAATTATCTGCATTTTGTTTTGTTTAAACTTCCCTTGTCAGATTATTCTTCATCCCACATATTGACAGGCAATGTGCTTAAAGTATCTACACCCAGACAGCGAGCTAGAAAACTATGCTCTTCAGGTTATGGATATGCTACGGTCCGATACATCTAGTGATGCTCAAGCACTGGTATGCTGTGCAAAAATGTGGTTTTATAGGATATTATATGCTCATTTATGATGATAAAAATAGCTGAAGGTTTGACTACTTGTGATATGTGTTGAAATTGTAATGACATATCCTTAACTTCTGTATAAGCTGAGTAGAATTTCAAGCAAAAAGTATTGGTGGAAAATACGTGGTGCCATAAAAGTAGGGTTTAGATATACCTCAATAACTTGAAATCTTTTAAGTGATATTAATTGAGTCTGACCCTACAGTCATTAAAATGATTATTAATAGATGGCGGTTTATTTGTAAACTATCATTGTTTACGCCAAATGACTAACTGGCTAAGATGTACCAACTTATTATGTTGATAAATGAATTTAACAAGGTTTGAAGTTAACATGTAAATTATCCTTCTATTGCCTAATTTTTTTGTTTTTCAAAAACTTATAAAAAGTTGGCGTTTCAAGTCATACACAAGTGATTGGAATCAATATTCAATAGCCGTAGTCAAGATAACGTAGTAGACATCAGTAATCACACGATACAATACGCGTTACACTTGGTCTTGGTGTTACGCATTGACACAAAATGCAGTTCCACAACTTTCTTTTTGCTTTCACATATGCTGTGAACAAGCTTACTGATCATTTTGGTTCAGATTTTCACTGTTTTGTTCCTTTCTGATGCTAGGCGCTTCTGGTAAACAAGAAATTAAGGTGTTTCATTGCATGTCATGGCCAATTTGTATTAAGAGAATTATCTTCTGTATATGGTCAATTTGTTTGGTTTAGTGGAAGGGCTTATGGCATGTGCAGTGTGCTTCTTGTTTATGTGTGATGCACTTGGCAAACCAAATTCGTGGTTGCTTCAACTCTCTTTAGGATGGTTCTGCTCCTTCTGAATCTCTGATCCTCTATAAATAGAAGTTTTTATTGCATACCATGTGTGCTTTTCTAAAGCCAGGTTCCTTATATATTTCTCCTTCTTTTTAAGGCTTGTGTGCTATACATTATGCGAGTCGGTATAACTGATCAAATGAGTGAACCCACTCAGAGAAGCTTTTCTGTCTTTCTTGCCAAACAGGTTCACTTCATGTTCCAACTTGAGGTTTAATATTTTTAATGGCTTTTTCGGCTTTTGCAAACTAGTGTTGCTGACCTTCATTGACTTCTTCTGCAGCTTTTATCTTCTGATTCCACTCCATTCATTCGAGTAGTGGCATTAAGAACTCTGTCATATGTTTTGAAAACACTTGGAGAGGTAAAGTTGTTTTGTGGATTTCTTTATTGAGCTTGTGTACCCGTAACGTATAATTAACAATCTTAGACATCTTCGTGCAGCATGCATATATATATAAATGTATATAAATGTGGAATGCTGATATTCTCAATATTGTTATGGTTAATATAGTATGACCCTATTGTTGTTGTCGTCCCATCTAAACCATACTCCCAAACCATACTGAGGGGATTGGAAGAGTATCAGAGGTAGGTATTCTTAATAGTAGTATCCAAGTGTTTCCTATCAGTAGCTGATAAGAGTGAAGGTGAATTGCGGAAGGAATTTAAGCTGAAATTGATGGTTAATGATTAACTGACAAAAGATTAACTTAAAAAAGAAAGAAACAGGAAAAAAACAAGCGAATGCTTCCCCTGCCTAAGCCAAGTGTTTCTTTATTCTTTTTTCTCGATGCCTTAAGAGACCTAAACCCTATTACTTAATAAAAACAAATCTGAAGCGAAACCCCGATCTATCACCTTATTGTATCCCTTGTAAGAAATATATAATCTGCTGTTTCCTTGCAGCTTCATTGCAATAGCAATGCAAATTCCTTGCAGCTGCAAAGCACCTTCATAGCAGCCATTATGGGCTGATTTTTCAGCTTAAGTAATTTCTAGGAAAGTCACTAGGTAGTTGTTTTTAGTTCTTATAAATAGGGATGTAGTTTTGTATTTGTAAACACAGCAAAAACTGAATAATCAATACTTTGAGTTGTTCAATATCTTCTTCTATCCTAAAAGTGTCCGTTTGTGTCGGGAAGCATTTTTGCTTACACGAACAGTGCATCCTAGCTGCAAATAAAGACGAGCAGGGACTAACAAGTGGTATCAGAGCCATGGCAAGCCAAGATGCTGCGTCGATGGTGCAAGGGAGCGGTGCACACGCTTCACCGCGCCAGGAGGTCATCATCCACAGGACCGTACGGGACGTTGGCGGGGCCAACTGGCCGGTCCTCACACGCACAAACTATGGCGAGTGGGCGGTGCTGATGAAGGTCAAGTTGCGTGCGCGTAAGCTATGGCGGGCCATTGAAGAAGGCACCGAGGATGAAGAAGAGGACTGTGCAGCGATGGAAGCGATTCTATCCGCTGTGCCTCACGAGTACGTGGAGTCGCTGGGCGTAAAGGACTCCGCAAAGGCTGCTTGGGACGCCCTCAAGGCCATGCGCATCGGGTCTGATCGCGCAAAGAAGGCGAAGGCGCAGCAGCTGCGGCGGGAGTATGAGGCGCTGGTGTTCCGCGACGGCGAGGCAGTGGAGGATTTCTCGCTCCGTCTGCAGTCGCTCGTCAGTCAACTGGCGGCGCACGGCGTCACCATCACCGACGAGGAGGCGGTCGCGAAATACTTGCGTGTCGTGCCACCTAAGTACGCCCAGATCGCGCTCTCCATCGAGACGTTGATCGACATGTCCACCCTCACGATTGAGGATGTGACTGGGCGCTTGCGGGCGGTCGATGACCGTGTGGAGACGGCGACGATAACTACCAGCGGCAAGTTACTGCTGACCGAGGAAGAATGGGCAGCTCGTATGCGCGAGAGGCGGCCCGGGGAAGGCTCCTCCAGCCGTGGCGGCTACGGCAAGCGTCGTAGCAAGGCCCCGCAGAAGAAGAAGGACGGCGACAACGTGCGTCCGATCGACAAGGACACTTGTCGACGCTGCGGGAAGACAGGACACTGGGCCCGGGATTGCAAGAATCCCAAGAAGGAGAAGAGGGAGGCACACCTCGCGCAGGTAGACGACGAGGAGCCAACTCTTCTAATGGCAACGACCTGCAAGTTGCACGACGTTGAGCCAGAGTTAGAGGAAGTCAAGGCGGCGGTTGCAGAGCAGGGGAAGGCACTACAGGTCGTTCACCTCGACGAGTCAAGTGCCCAAGTCCACCTTGGACGAATGGGCGGTGGCATGGAGCAGAGGTGGTACCTAGACTCCGGCGCCAGCAACCACATGACCGGCTCCAAGGAGGCCTTCTCCGAGCTTGATGACGGCGTGACGGGGACGGTGAAGTTCGGAGACGGCTCAAAGGTGGAGATTCGAGGTCGCGGCAACGTCATCTTCCGGTGCCAGAACGGCGAGCACCGCGCATTGACGGATGTGTACTATATCCCGCAGTTGCGTTCAAGCATCGTCAGCATCGGGCAGTTGGACGAGCACGGCTGTGAGGTGCTTGTCAAAGGCGGCGTGCTAAAGCTCAGGGACCGAGACCAGCGGCTGTTGGCCAAGGTCCAGCGTTCCCGGAACCGCCTCTACCTCCTCGACTTGAAGGTGGAGCAGCCAGTGTGCTTGGCAGTACGACACACCGAAGAGCCATGGCTATGGCATGCTCGTTTCGGCCATTTGAACTTCGACGCACTCGGCCGGCTGAGGAAGATGGTGCGCGGGCTCCCGCACATCGAGCACGCAGGCGAGCTGTGCGACAGCTGCCTGGCAGGGAAGCAGAAGCGGCTGCCCTTCCCAAAGGCGGCCAAGTATCGTGCGGCGGACGTCCTAGAGCTCGTCCACGGCGACCTCTGCGGGCCGATCACACCGGCTACGCATGGCGGACGGCGCTACTTCCTGCTGCTCGTGGATGACTGTAGCCGTTTCATGTGGCTGCAGCTCCTGACGAGTAAGGATCAGGCAGCAGAGGCAATCAAGCGGTTCCAGGCGCGAGCCGAGGTAGAGTCTGGGAAACGGCTGCGCGTGCTGAGGACGGATCGCGGTGGCGAGTTCACATCGGTGGAATTCGCTGCGTACTGTGCAAACCAGGGGGTGGTGCGCCATCACACTGCGCCGTACTCACCGCAGCAAAACGGTGTAGTGGAGCGGCGGAATCAGACCGTGGTGGGCATGGCCCGAAGCATGATGAAGGCAAAGGGCATGCCAGCGGAGTTCTGGGGAGAGGCTGTGAGCACGGCAGTGTTCATCCTCAACCGTGCGCCCACAAAGGCCCTGAAGGGCATGACGCCATTCGAAGCTTGGCATGGTAGGCAGCCCGACGTCTCGTTTCTAAGGACGTTTGGGTGCATTGGCCATGTGAAGAAGACGAAGCCCTTCATGTCCAAGCTTGAGGATAGGAGCACACCGATGGTGTTCCTAGGCTACGAGGAGGGGAGCAAGGCCTATCGGCTCTACGATCCACGTGGAGGCAAGGTGGTGGTTTCGCGGGATGTGGTGTTCGACGAAATGGCGGCCTGGGATTGGGAGAATCCTGGCACGGGGGAAGCCCGTGGCGTTGGCGGTACGTTCGTCATCGAGCATTTGGTGATCCACGGAGGAGGAGATGTGGGAGTAGAGGAGCCAGCTGCGGACGCGCCAAGTCCAACAGCTGTGGCGGCGTCGGATGAGCCGCAAAGTCCTGCCATGACGGGCACGGGCGAAGAATCTCCACCAGTGGCTGCACACACACCCTCACCACATTCCCCTACTGCGGCAGGACAGGGGACATCTCCGACGACAGTTGAGTTCGCCTCTCCTCCAAGCGACATCGACGAGTATGTGGATGCCTTCCACGACGGCGAGGGGGTGAGGTTTCGCAGGATGGACAACCTTGTTGGCAACTCGGCGGTACCAGGCTTAGCGAGCCGATTACTCGATGATCAGGAGCTGCTCCTCGTCAGCGCAGAGGAGCCATCGACTTTCGCGCAGGCCGAGGGAGATGTCAATTGGAGACGAGCTATGCTAGAGGAGATGAAGGCGATCGAGGAAAATGAGACGTGGGAGCTCGTCGATCCACCTCCAGGCTGTCATCCAATCGGGCTCAAATGGGTCTACAAAGTCAAGCGGGACGAGTGTGGCGCCATAGTCAAGCACAAGGCGCGCCTCGTTGCTCGCGGTTTCGTCCAGCGAGAGGGCATCGACTTTGAGGAAGTTTTTGCACCAGTGGCGCGCATGGAGTCAGTTCGCCTACTGCTAGCCATGGCGGCAGCAAAGGACTGGCGCATTCATCACCTGGACGTGAAATCGGCCTTCCTAAATGGAGAGCTAGCGGAGACTGTTTTCGTCAAGCAAGCCCCGGGCTTCGTCGTCAAGGGAAAGGAGCACAAGGTGCTACGGCTGCGGAAGGCACTCTATGGGTTGCGACAAGCCCCGCGAGCGTGGAACGCCAAGCTCGATGCCACTCTGGGTACGCTTGGGTTCACGCGCTGCGAGACTGAGCACGCGCTCTACACGCGACGACGGGGGAAGGAGGAGCTCGTCGTCGGCGTGTATGTAGATGACTTGATCATCACCGGGGCACGAGAAGGGGACATCAACGGTTTCAAGCACGAGATGGCAGCTCGTTTCCGCATGAGCGATCTCGGGCAGCTCTCCTACTACCTCGGCATCGAGGTGAAGCAGGGGAGAGACTCCATCACTCTCTGCCAGCGTGCGTATGCGGGGAAGCTGTTGGAGCGGAGCGGCATGGCTGACTGCAAGTCATGCGCGACTCCAATGGAGGAGCGGCTGAAACTGACGAAAGCCAGCACCGCGGAAAAGGTGGATGCAACACTCTACCGGAGTATCGTCGGCGGGCTACGCTATCTAGTCCACACGAGGCCAGATATTGCATTCGCCGTGGGCTATGTCAGTCGTTTCATGGAGGACCCCCGAGAGGATCATTGGGCTGCGGTAAAGCGGCTGTTGCGCTATGTCAAGGGGACGGTGGACCAGGGCATCATCTTTCCCAAGACCGGCGGTGGAAGTGGGCTGCGGCTCACGGTTTTCAGCGATGCAGACATGGCAGGCGACATTGATGGGCGGAAGAGCACCTCCGGTGTGCTCGTCTTCCTTGGATCAGCCCCAATCTCATGGCAGTCGTTGAAACAGAAGATCGTGGCGTTGTCTACGTGCGAGGCGGAGTACGTGGCGGCAGCCACAGCGGCATGTCAGGCGGTCTGGCTGCGTAGGTTGCTGGGCGAGCTGACCGGCGAGGAAGCTCGTCCACCAGCTCTGATGGTGGACAACCAGCCCGCCATTGCCCTTGCAAAAAATCCAGTCCTCCATGACCGGAGCAAGCACATCGATACCCGTTTTCACTTCATCAGGGATTGTGTCGATGAAGGACATATTGTTTTGGAGTTTGTCGAATCCGGACGGCAGCTCGCAGACATCCTTACCAAGCCACTCGGCCGTCTTCGGTTCATGGAGCTGAGGACCAAGATTGGAATGATAGGAAACAAGGAAGAGCAGCATGATTAGGGGAAGAATTGTAAGAAATATATAATCTGCTGTTTCCTTGCAGCTTCATTGCAATAGCAATGCAAATTCCTTGCAGCTGCAAAGCACCTTCATAGCAGCCATTATGGGCTGATTTTTCAGCTTAAGTAATTTCTAGGAAAGTCACTAGGTAGTTGTTTTTAGTTCTTATAAATAGAGATGTAGTTTTGTATTTGTAAACACAGCAAAAACTGAATAATCAATACTTTGAGTTGTTCAATATCTTCTTCTATCCTAAAAGTGTCCGTTTGTGTCGGGAAGCATTTTTGCTTACACGAACAGTGCATCCTAGCTGAAAATAAAGACGAGCAGGGACTAACATCCCTAATTATGTAATTAAAATATGGTAATTTAGATCCATTTTTGGTGGCACGGATACTATGGTGGTGCAAATCATGGTTTGTGTTTTGTGAGTTTCCATAATGCTTATCACATATTAATGCGGGGAATTTAGCTTTGATAGAAAGCTTTGTACGTACCTCGTCAAGGTTTTTCTCCATCATCTCCAAAGGGTTTCAGCTTCTCCTTAGAGGCTCCCATCCTTGTTTGCGGCAGGTCGAGACCAAATTGACGAGTAAAGGGGGAATTGTTGGAGGAAATTCAAGGATGCAATTCCTCCCTATGCATAAATACAAAGTATTTCGAGCTTTAGTGTCAACTTGTGGTGTTTTGTACTCCTATACTAGTACAAAGCCCATGCGATGCACGGGGACATAACGATCTATCATATAAATTGTTGCCATAAAAGAATATTTATTAGTATAAAATTAGTTTTGAATATTAATGTTATTTTTTATAATTTTTATGATGTATAATAGTTTAATATGTGATTTATATGTTTATTTCACCCGTCACAAAATAGTTATCATTTTAAAGTTCCTAGTTAGAATTAAGGAACATAAACAATTAACATATTCAAACATTATTAATATATAATACTTAAAAAATACACCCCCCTCTCTCTCTCTCGCTTTACTCATACCTTATTATAATATATTATTTTGATTCCTAAATAAGTGATAGTAAAGTTAAATAATTATAGAACATATTATAAACTAACACTTAATAAAAAAACATAGTGAATTTTATTTTAAAGTTGTAAAATTTATTATTTTTTAATTACCTCAAAATTATTTTTATTTTTTAATTCACCGGTTGATTTATTATTATAACTTATAACGATATACATATTTTGATTGCTTTCTAAGTTAATGATTTACATCATTGTCCATGACTTGTTGGTTTATTACTATAATTTATAACAATATACATTATAAGTATTTCATTTTTCTTTCTATGTCAATAACTTAAATGTATGGTTAAACGATGAATGACATCATAATTTGTAACAATAAATCCTATAAATATTTTTATTTTTTTCTAAAAAATTATAATTTACATGGAAGTTCTACATATGACTCATTGGTTTATTACAACTTACAACATTACATATTATAAATACTTTTATAATCTAATAATTTATATGGCTGTTCGACAAACGACCAATTTATTTATCATTTCGTATATATTTGATCCTCGAAAATAATTGTTTACTTATACTTTCATATTTTTAGCATTAGTTTTTTTAGACCCATGAAAGATAAATATATTAATTTCTATTTTATAGAAAATACATTTTATTATATATATATTAATATTTTATTGTATGAATACGAGACTAATTCCGAATTTTTAATTTAGTATAGATTAATAAATTTAAATTTCATTTTATATATGTAATATTAACAAATAATGATACTTTATAAAAATGTATTTTTTTAAGATAGTAAAATAAAAGTAAATTTAAAATTACATACCAAAATGGATCAAAAATAAAAATGTTATTAAGTTTTAATTTTTAACACACTAATACTAATAGGAAAAATGGAAAAGAAAAAAGATCAGACAACATAGGGAAACTAAATAAGAAAAAAAAATCATAGTTTGAAATTTCCTCTTATAAGCGTTTCAGGAGTATTTTATTTTATTTTTTTATTATTTTTTTTTCTAATTTACAAACAACTATCTTTATTCTTTGGAGTGATTAATCTATAACCATATACATTAATTTATATTTCCCAATTCAAATAAATTTCTAAATTAGGTAGAAAATATATAAATGATTGTAAATTTTAGAAATGTTTAAACTTAAAATTTTGGTATCACGTCACTAAACATATCTGTCTTACTCAAGATCTTTATAAAGCAAACCTGTTCCTAGGAATTTTTTGTATACCTTAAACTTCTGTTGACTGCATCCTAGTGACTCTCACATGGTATAGGAAATGATTAACTATTCTAGCTGCTATTGAGATTTCCAGAATGGTGATTTGGCAAACTTTACAACTAATTGTTGATATATGCTTGATCAGTTAGACACTCACACCCCCAACCTCGGAGAAGACTGCATTTGGATCCATGGGGTGTGTACAAGCTTACAATTTTCCATATTAGATAGGAATCAGACTTTCTGAACATGAGATGGATTCATTCAGCCTAAGATTACATATTCTTTGATGCGAAATCTTCTGGGTTCATGTATCCCCGACGTTAAATGAACTGAGTGGTTGGAAGAAAAATCACGAGCTTGTCATGGAATATTGACTTTTGGTTGTTCCTGATAAATAATATTCTCTGTTGTGGTTTGTTCTTTCTCTCGCCAATTATTAGATGTGGCTCATGTTCTTACTCTTGCACAGGCTTACTATGTTGGGATCCCTATTTTACTTTGTTGATATCGATTTTGCTTGCTTACTTCCTTGAGATGACCGTATCCTCCTCCATATTTACATAAAAGTATGCAAATTGTTTGAGTAGAAGGTCCAGAGTTGATGTTTCATGAGTGAATTGTCTTGGAGATTTCAATGGTGGGAAATGTTATTTGTTAGCAGTTTAGCTCAAGCAGTGTTGCCAGTGATGGTTAGTTCTGTTTGAATGTGTATTTTCGGCTGATTGTATCTTTAGCGTTCAGTAAAAAAATATTAAACTGATGGAAGAAATTCTTTATTAGAAGTTATTCCATGAAAGCTGATGTACTTTGTTTTGCACATTGGTTCGTGAAGTATCTATTTTCATGTGTGCTTGCATAGTTGCAGATATGAGTCAGTTGCATTTCTACAAGCTTGAGTGGAGTTTCTGGAATAACTTATGGAGTCCATTGCTTATTAACATAACATGAATGATGCTTCATATGTTCAATTATAGGTTCCATTGGAATTCAAGGAAGTTCTTGATGATACAGTAGTTGTGGCGCTAACACATGATTCACCTCTGGTAAGCCCCTATGGTAGTTTCATAATTTCATTTGAGATTCATTCTGTTTCTAGCCATAGTTCTGACCAGAAAAGTGTGTAATAACTCTTTACTTCTCAACCAAACATTGATTATTAGTTCTTCCATAAATGCACTTCAATACATTATAGCATCTGCAAGCATGCTGCCTATGGTGCTTTATTGATTTGGTAGCTTGAGGACATGTTTTCTTGCTCATCCATGTGTCTGAATTATCATATTCGGTTAAAAGTGTGGATCTTGAACACATCTTTTCTTGAGAGTCCATTGTTTCAGGTCATCATATTCGGATGAAAATATGGCTTTATATTATGTAAAGATGTAAGTGCCAGATCTGCCTGGAAATCTTATCTCACTATTATGAGGCCTAGCTTTTTCTGTTGTTGCTGTCGCTGTAGAAGCTTGCAAATGAAAACACTCATAGTGACCATATTTTGTGACCGCTAAAGTTCTTCCAGGTTTAGAGGAGGTTAATTATAAACTGGTATTTATGTTGGAAAATACTTGGGTTCGGCCTAGTGAAACGGAAGTAGATGACTTTGCAACGGCTGAGTGAAGCAGTCAAGTGTAGACATGTATTTTAGAGGAAGCTGACTTAGTGTAGTTTTCTATTTATTTCATTTGTTTCAGTTTGTTTTTTTATCATTGTGGGTTTTATCTTTCTTCAGTGGATTTAAGGAGGGAATATTGCTTTCAGCAAATAGCTTCTAGGAAGATTGTAATTAGCAGTAATCTTTGCTACAACTATAATGCATGGAGTTTTTTAGTTTTCAGACACGGGTACTGCTATTGAATGGTGAGTGGCAATTTTTGGTTAGGTAAGGGTTGAAGCTGCCTTGACTCTCCGTGTGCTGGCCGAGGTTGATCCCTCCTGTGTTGGTGGCTTGATTTCTTATGCAAGGACAACGCTTGGCGCAGCAAGAGAAAATGTCTCATTTGAGAAGGTTAAACTTTCAGGCCCATTATATCTTATGCTGCTTTTTAGATCCTGCAATTTCATTTTTCTTTGTTTTCCCCCATAGTCCAATTAAATATTTTCTGTTGTGAGAGATTGCTATATTTTTTTTGCTATAATTATATTTTTCCATTCGCGTGTTGTATCGATGAGTACAATTACGAAGCATGCGAGATGATATCTAATCTATAAGTTAAAATAGCATCACTGAGTAGAAAATGTGATGTGCAGTTGTCAGTGGTGTTGATATTAAATTCACTTGGAATTTTTGTTGCATTTTTCTTATTAATGACATGATAAAGCAAGTGATAAACATTCAAGCATGTAAACAAATACTCTTTGCCTAATAAGCAATGGATCGTCATACATTTTAAACAAAAATGCATATTTATATAATATAATATCATACTTTTGTTTATGTTATTTTCGAAAGTATGTTACCTGTGCATAAAGTATGCACATTTATTAAAAATTTGTAACTTTTTAACGGTTACGCTGTTAGGCAGCCCTAGTGTTAAATAAATATATAAATATTTGGTAAAAAAAATGCTAAGGTAGTGGTGAAACATAATTGAAATTAATTTTTGAATTTCTTTTAATTTATTGGAATTGTAATTTCTCAATTAAGATGTTGGCGGTGTATCATGACTCATGAGTGCCCATGTATGTAATTAACAAAAATATTAAAAATAAAATTCACATAAAATATATTTAATTGTTGATTTTGTTCATAGTTAAAAATTATTGCCAACTAAATAGAAGTGTAATTTGTTTCATTTTAATACATAATATTTTTTAACACAAAAATTAACTATGAACCAGATGTTTTTTATATTTTCCATTAGGCCGACTGAAGAATCCAAAGAAAGAGTAATTCATTTATACTTGTGCTCCATTTAGTCAATCTTTAGAAGAAAATGAAACTATATATTCCTCTTTAGAAGCAGCCCTTAGTAAAGTTGAGAATATTATCACGTTTTTACTATGAACAATTAATTTATTGTACGAGTTGAATAATATATACAAGTTTGTTTATATATACCACATGCGAATACACACTTCAAACGTAAAGTTGTGTAATTATACCAATTATATGGGTATCTTCCAATGGAGCAAAACTAAGAAGACAAAAGNAAGAGAAATGGAAAATGAAATTGGCAATATTATGAAATTTATGGTAATTTTTTGTGGTTGGAGTCTAACTTCAATGGAAAATATAGAGTAATTATATGTTATTTCAATTCTAAATCCAAATCTATATTTTCTTAGTTGTAATGTCTTTGGAGATAGTTCAAGGGTATTATACATTGAAAGATTTTTTTTATTATGAAAGCTAATTATGTATTGTTAAATTTTATAAATTTGTTGTTAATACTTGTTGTATGTTGTTCATTTATTAATTTGACAAATGATCATTTGATAATTTCTTTGTGAATTGACAAGTAGAGAATAAGAAATAGAATATTCTTTAACTTTTAATATTTATTAATCTCGATAATTACAAAAAAATTCAAAATTATTATATATTCTCCATATGCAAAGACAAGTGTAGAAATAGTATTTTCTAAAATGATGTATATAAAATAAGTTGCACATAGTATACATATGCGATTAATTGTTGAATGTTCTTTTGATTACTTATCTAGATAATGGTGTGTTTTCAAATACTAGTATAGATGTGATTGTGGCTATAATCCAAAATATAAGTTACAAATACACAAACCTGATCAGAATAAGTATTGTAGTGCGTTGAACTATTATTTGGTTTGTATATAAATTTAATTATATAATTTTTTAGTACATTTTTAATGCGTTGTTAATTTGTTCTCTTATGGTCTGCTCTTGAAATGCTGAAAATCACGCTCAATTTGGATGGATTCAGGCTTGGACAGATTCGGAACTAGTGGATAATCATTCTAGATTTTTGTATTGTAGAGAAAAATCAATGAAAATCGATGAAGTAGAAGCTCAAAGATGCGTCAGGCCCTAAGATTTGCTAGGTTCTGTGCAGAAAACAAAATTATTTTGATTCCCACGTTTTTGTGAACCTTCCATAAATCTCTTTATTAGTTTTTGAATGAAAAATTTTTAAATTATGCGCAGCATAAACTAAATGTTCGAACAAAACTAAATAAGCCTTAAGTATTTTTTGCTTACAGTTAGAAATGATGTGAATATGAGGTCAAGAAACGATAAGCCTTCAGTAATTTCTTGCTTATAGTTGATAGTGGTGAGGAATCAACTATTTTTCCACGTGGAGATTTTATTTTTAGCTTTGATGAAGCCATTGTTGGCTCGAACGAGAAAGGCCTTTTGAACTCTTTAACTTCAGATGGTCCTCAAAACAAAATGATTGATAATCCTTTAGTGGAATTTGCACTCTAGGAACTTTGATACCTACGACCAAAGTCTTAATTAAACTACACAACAAATGGCTCATGAGGAAACATGAGATCTAAAAATATGATGTATGAACAAGTAATAAGCTCAAGGCCAAGCTGGTCTTGATTTGGAAGTAAAAAAAAACCACTCCATCCACCAATCAATCGACCAACCCATATGATACTTAATGGAATGAAGTTGTTTCGTTAAAAGAGAACGCGAATAAAAGAAAACTAGAAAGGTGGAAATTATATCAATTTCATTTTGTCAAGATCGTGAGACAATTAACAGTTCCCATTATATATGTGTGAGTAGAATGTCTATAACAAATCCAATCATCAATATAAATAAGAGTGATTAATGCATTTGCAATTCAAATCAGGAACTTATTTGATTTTCTCACTTTGTTTACCATGGAGTCTTATCTTGTTTCTATGTTTATTTGACATACGAACCTTATTATATTTTTAATTCTCCTTGGAATAGGACTTATTATGCTATTATGTTTTCTTTCATTTTCGCCATTATACAGTTATAATGTTGCGAATCTTTTTACATTTTTTTGTTTCTTTACATTGGACCTCAATATGTTTTTCCAGTTTTCTTTATATTAAACCTTATTCTGTTATTCCGTTTGTTTTATTATGCTGCGAATTCATATTTCAAGTACTATTGTTTAGATATTTATTTAACCATTTATTCTCGTCGGTATTGCTTGATATGGAGCACACCTTCGGAAGTTTTCTAAATACCCGCTTCGTTTGAAAGACAGGACTGAAAGGGAAAGGCAGCTGTCATGAAGCAGCCTTTCTTTGGAACTCAACAATGAAAGGACTTGACTTCATGTTTTGATGTGTCAACGACTTATTTGTATAACAATCTTGTAGGTTTATGAGTCATATTCAATAAAATAAGTGTACTTATTGAATAATTTCTACGGCTATTTGTCACCTTATATGTATCACTTGCATGATATTCCTTCTGTTTAAGGCTACTTATAACAATCAATTACAGAAACATATATTTACTTTTTATTTAATCGTAATGATTTATCTTTTTCTGACGTACTGTCTTCCTTTTCTCCTATTGGTGGACTAATTTTCCTGATTGATATCCAGGGCTTTCACTTCAAAAGGGAGATTGAGTCTCTACATGGGCAAGCAGCAGTTGTGGCATCACTTGTTTCAATATCATGGAAGTTACCTCTCGGATATCCAACCAGGTAGAATTATCTGATCTTAAATTTCCCTTCATCTCGTTCTGTAACAAAATAACTACATATGTGCAAAGTTCGATTATGTTCATTGAGTGCAGCAGATAATGTTCAGTATAGGTATGCTTCCATTACATGTGGAAGTATTTATTTCTATAATTATATTGCCTTTCACAATGATTTACTTGTTTCTTATGTGTGGTGTCTGGTCGGTGCAGATTGCCTCAATCCGTGCTCCAAGTTTGCAAGAACCTGTTGATGGATTCTAGCAGGAATCCTGTGGCAGCTGCTGTTGAGAAAGAAGCTGGATGGAACCTTTTGTCTTCACTATTAACTTCTATGTCAAAAGAGGTAAATGTCAATTGTTCTAGACTTCTTGTTTTAAAGGTTTACTCCATTTCAGTTTCTCAAGGAACTACTTTGATGGTTTCAGGAGCTTCATGATCAAGCTTTTGATATTCTTGCTTTATGGGCTTCCACATTTAGTGGAAATCCAAAACACCACATAAGTCAAACCAATGATCTCACATCTGAAATATGGTTAGTTGAATAATGCTCATTTGAACTTCGTCCTCTGCATTTCTTGCTACTATTTTGACTTTTCTGTTTTAGTGTCTATATTTTCTCATTGGTAAAAACTGCCAGTTTTGTCCATTGCAAATGGAGCTGGAAGAGTCATTGTTGACAATTCTCCTGGCATAGTGCTAATAATGGACTAGATCAAAATGGCTCAATTAAATTCTAGTGTTTCTTCTATTAGTGAAGTTTCTAGAAAGAAAAAATATATCAAAAACGGCGCAATGCACCTTGGGTCGCTACAGAAACAGCCTCCTTATATAATTACAAGGGTAAGGTCTGCGTACAACTGACCCCCCAGACCCCAACCTGTTGGGAATATACTGGGTATGTTGTTGTTGTTGTTGTTGGTAAAAACTGCCAGTAAACCTTGCTACTCTATTAGAGAAACTCCAACAGATAATATATTTAAACCAATGAGGAAAAGTTGAAGCTTGCACTTATTGAGCTAATAAATTCCAAGAGGAATCAGCACATCCGGATTATAAGGAATGAATCTGAATTACCACCTTAAACAATATTTCACCTAGAATGCAATGATTTTTTTTTTGTAATTTTTTGTTTATATTATATTTATTGAGTAAGATACATCATGTTTTTTCTGTAGTGTGTGGTCTGCTGCTGTCGATGCCCTTACTTCATATGTGAAGTGTTTTGTTTCCTCTGACCCTGTGAACAGAAGAATCCTGCTGCAGCCAGTTCTTTTGTACTTGAATAGGTAAATTGATTTAAAATAGTTTTCTGGATCTGCTTGGCCGTGAAATTCTGTTGGCTATAATTTGCTTTTTCTACCATCTCAACTACCTTCCTCACATAGATCTTAATTCTTATGAACCAGGGCATTGTCGAATGCTTCACAGCTAGCTGGTAAAGAACAAGCAGGAGGAAAATCTTCAGTTGACTTATTTATTCTCCGGGTGGTGATAGCATATGAAGCTCTTTCAGACCCATCTCTCTACAAAAGTGACCATGTGCATATCATTCAGATATGCACTACTCCTTTTAGGTAATCATAAGATGAAGGCATGTTTTGTGTTCATATTTTTCTCTCACATGTATTGCTGTGTGCTTTTCTTTCAAGAAACATGCATGCCACTGTATGTAAATGTGTCAGACGTGCACATTTCCTTATCGTTTTGATGAAATTATTCCAATTTCTGTGGTTTTATACGAAACATATGACAGGGAAGCTTCCAAATGCGACGAAAGCTCTTGCCTGAGGTGGTTGTTGGACAAGAGAGATGCCTGGTTAGGTCCTTGGACTCCTGGAAGGTCAGCTCCCTGTTTTTTGAAGACTCATTGCATATTGTTCACTGAATTCTGTACCATTCTAAGTCATCATTGGTCTCATCATCTATATTTTATCAACATCTTAAAGGCAATGAAATTATCATTGTTTAGATCTTATCAGTTGTGAATTTGAACGTGATTACTAGGGATTGGTTTGAAGATGAACTTCGTTCTTTTCAAGGGGGAAAAGATGGCATATTGACATGTGTTTGGGAGAAAGAGCCTCCTAGTTTCCCTCAGGTAAAGACATTGCCATGCTTTAAAAGATTTTGCAATCTACTTTGCTGGGAGTTCTCTTTTTTCTTCATTCCTTATGTTTATGTATATGACGAAAACATTGAAGCCTGAGACTACAAGTAAGATGCTGGTCAATCAGATGCTCCTCTGCTTTGGGAATATGTTTGCTTCTCAGGTACTGATCACGTTACTGGTTTAGCGTGTGAGCTAAATTGCTGTTCGACATGGAAAATTTGAATGTGGTCATCTCTTTTTTTTTCCTATGTTCTTCCAGGATAGTAGTGGGATGCTGTCGTTTATTGGCATGATCGATCAGTGTCTGAAAGCTGGAAAAAAACAAGCTTGGCATATGACAAGTGTTACCAATATATGTGTGGGGTTATTAGCTGGCCTGAAGGTTGTATCGTAATCTCGTGTTCAATAAAGCCACCAATAGTATTCACACTCTAAGTATCTTCGTGACTTTGTTTTTCTTCCAGACTTTGCTTGCTCAACGTCCTGAACCCCTGGGAATGGAGATACTAAGTGCTATTCAGGCTATTTTCCAGGTCCTGATGATGCTTTAATTGCAGATTTGTCAGAAATCTAACCCATCCTTTGTTTTCCTGAATGCGACCTTGTGATGTTGGCAGAGTATTTTGGCTGAAGGTGACATTTGTGCATCACAACGTAGAGCATCATCAGAAGGTCTTGGTTTATTAGCGAGGCTGGGAAATGATATATTTACAGCCAGGATGGTTAGTTTGATCGATGTTCTTCTGTGTGATGATTTTTTCCCTTTACTTTTATTTTGTTTTATTTACCTTTGCTTCCAGGATTGCTTATAATGAGAGTCAATTGTCATTATCTCTTTCCGGCTTTTATTTACGAAGGAACTGGGAATTATTTTATAAAAAAGAAATTGGGTTCAGTTTTTAGTTTGTTGAGAGCAAATACTTCAGAGATTTTGCTCTAAGAGTCTTAGTCATTAGCAAATGAGTCTTATTGGTTATTTTATCATAGCCAGTATGTTGTTCTACTTTTATCTATTTTCTGTCAGTGTAATATTAAGTGCAAAGTCACTACTTTAGGTGACAGTTCTTATATAGTAGGGAGAATCTCTGACTGGTTCTTCTTGTGAGCAGACAAAACAACTTCTTGGCGATATTACCAGTGGTATAGATTCCAACTATGCTGGATCAATTGCTCTTGCTCTTGGCTGCATTCATCGCAGGTAACCAATGAGAATTGATATAAACCTTTTAACTGAAAAGCAGCTTGAGCGAGTTGAAGCTCATCACAGACCCTGCCACACATGAATGAAATAAAAGAAAAAAAAATTGAGCAAAGAGAAAGCTGCTTGTCAAAGTTCAGGCATCTACACACGACATAATCATATTGTGTACATAAACTAGTTCAGTGTAGCCAACTTAAACTTAATATTGAGTGATTTTGAAATGTAAAGTCCCAACTCCTGCAGTAGGCTGACAACTGCCTTTGGATTTTTGCTATTTCCTTGTTGATTTCTCTTGTTTTAGAACAGAGGAAATGACTAATCATGTGCAAATTTCTTGACTTGAGCTTATGCCAGTGCAGAACTCCTGCAGATTTTCTTTATTAAATAACTTCAGCACAACTTTACTGTGGAAATCGTTCATGCTAAGCAACCACTGAACATATTGTGAATATGTTGTTCATCAATTTAAGTGAGCTGCTATTTTTTTTTTCTTCCTTTTCTTTTGGAACTACATGAATAATGTCATTTAATATTTGGAGGTATTTCTCATTGTGCCAACTTAAAATGTTCTCGTTACTTTGTATTCTTTCTCTGTTTAATTTCAGTTTTGAATACTGACGATATCTTCTATAGATGTGTTTTGGTCATTTTATGCACACTACATGGAAAAAGAGTTTAATCGCTTTTGCTCTGTCGAATTGTTATTGATAATTGATGACTTTCTAATGCATCAAGATGTTGAGAACAGCTTGTATGTACTGGGACTGGAAAGTCAGTTTTCACATTGGCATACTTTTTATATTAAGCCGAACAATCTATTATACCAATAAATGGATTCACGTAAGAGCCTAACCTTGATGGTTTTACCTTCGCAGGATAACTGAGAATTTGTTTTCATCTGCAGTGCAGGAGGAATGGCATTGTCAAGTTTAGTTCCCAGTACAGTAAATATTGTCTCTGCGCTTGCTAGAAAATCAATTTCAAGTCTACAGATTTGGTCCTTGCACGGACTTCTTTTGACCATTGAAGCGGCAGGCCTCTCCTACGTATCTCAGGCTCAGGTATAGTTGAGCTTGCAGACCTTTAGTTGTTTGAAGTTTGATCTTCTCACCCGTTTTCGTAATTTTTGTGATAATATCTAGATGGGGTCTGATTTAATGGAAAAGACATGACTTACAGAGCCTTTGAATTTCCTTGATCTGAATATGAGTTGTTTTACTATCAGTATAGATATTATTTCTTTTTCCATGTTCACTGCAGCAAGTGCTGCTTATAATATGGCTTCCACCGAAGCCAATTTTGTAGTTAGTAAAGCTGAGGTTAATGAGGACTGCCTCAAAGAAATTCAAACCTCAAGCTTGCGGAATTAGTTATGCTTATAAAAGAACTACCTGTCATATAAAACTTGTAGTGAAAGATATATCTTTAGGTGAATATGAAGAAAGATGTATCATTAGAAGACATGCTAACCATATTGAGTCAAAATACATGAGACCTTTGGTGCTTCTGATCTGAAGCAAGTTTACGTAACCTAATCATCAAAAAAGTAAAAACAGTTGCGTAATCTAAAAATTTGAGGTTATTTTGAACTGATTATTTGCTTTGCACACTTAAGAGAATTACATTGATTTCTATTACGTATTCCGAAATATGTACAAGTGATGGGATGAAGAAACAAAGCGTTAAAATTTCATTTTAATACTCCTGTCATTTGTTTGGTAAATATTTGATGTGGGGTTTTAGCTTTTCCAGAATACAGATAATTAAAGCCAATATTTTTGTGAGTAGTCTTGTTAGTGGCAGGTTTTAACTTAGCAAGCCGAAAGTTCCTGACTACCCCCAGGAATGTTGCACCTGTAGGCTTGTAACTTTTGTTAAGTTTATCTTAAAAAATTTCTTCTGCTTTCGTGATATTGTAGGCAACACTCGGCCTTGCGATGGAAATTATCCTGTCTGAAGAGAGTGGTTGGGTTGATTTGCAGCAGGCAGTGGGCCGCCTTATTAATGCTATTGTTGCTATTATAGGTCCAGAACTTGCTCCTGGGAGCATTTTCTTCTCACGCTGCAAGGTGTGTTCATTTTGTTTCCCTTGATATAGGAAGTTTAAGCTTTTCTTGGGTATGCTTATAATGACAGTTTCATTTCCAGTATGATAAAAGATTTGTGTGATCTTGGGTAGAAAGAAGTTTTGTGTTTCTCTTATAGCAGTGCAGTACAGAAACGGTACACATCAAGCAAATAGTGGTTGTATTATCTCTTAGCTCTGAATTCTTAATCATGAATTGAATATTCTGTAATCCTTTAGAATAGACTCATTTCCAGTTCTTCTTCGTTTTCTTTTTAAAATATAAATTAATTTAAGTTAAATCCTACATATTTGTAAATTTAATTTTCTTATTCACCTCACTGCCTTCATATATTCGACCACTGTTATCCCTCCTATGATTTCTAAGTGGAATCTGAATTTCTTCTTTTGACTGTACTATTTTCCAATGTCCTAAAATAAGCTAGGCGCTCACTAGGTGGCGGGTTGAGACATAGTGCCTGGGGCCCCCTACGTGGGAATTATTCTATTTAATGTGGTTAAATATAGTTTCTTTTTTCAAAATACTATATGTTCATTTTTGTATTAATTTTATAATTACAACAACAACAACAACATACCCAGTATATTCCCAAAAGGTTGGGTTCTGGAGGGTCAGTTGTACGCAGACCTTACCCTTGTAATTATACAAGGAGGCTGTTTCCGTAGCGACCCAAGGTGCATTGCGCCGTTTGATATATTTTTTTTTTTTTTCTAGAAACTTCACTAATAGAAGAAGCACTAGAATTTAATTGAGCCATTTTGATCTAGTCCATTATTAGCACTATGCCAGGAGAATTGTCAACAATGACTCTTCCAGCTCCATTTGCAATGGACAATTTTGTATTAAATAATATTAATTATAAAATTTTGTATTGATTTTATAATTAATATTATTTATTTAATTATTATTGTATATTGCATGTATAAAATCAAATCTATTTTTATTATATATTGAAAAAAATAAAAAAATATAAAAAATATTATATGGGCATCTTGACCGCCTAGGTTGCTGCCTAGACCGCTTAAACAGCCTAGGCCTGACTAGTATCATAGTTGTTTGGACCGTCTAGCCTGCCTAGACAATCCACTCTAATTGCCTGAGTGCCTAGGAAAGGCGCCTACATGAAAATCGGGGTGCCCTGGTGCCGGCTAGCGCCTAGGCATCACCTAGCCCAATTTTTTGAACACTGTTATTTTCAATACCACTGAGTCATGAACTTCTGGTTCTATTTATAGCCATATACTATCTAGTCACTTGGTTGCTGATTGTTTCCTAATTGATGCCTTTGTGCTTAGTCGGCTGTTGCTGAGATCAGTTCGTCACAAGAAACGGCAACACTTCTCGAGTACGTAAACTCTACTTTTTATTTTCTTTTGACTTTTCTGTTTTTGGTTTGTTTCTGTTGTCGCTGAACCGGAATGAGTTTGAAATTAAAGCTGTTATATATCTGATGCTACATATATGGTGGTTTTACTTTTTACTTTCTTTTTTACAGGAGTGTGCGTTTCACACAACAGCTTGTTGTTTTCGCACCACAAGCAGTTACTGTTCATACTCATGTGCTAACTCTCCTTCCTACTCTGTCCTCAAGACAGGTATGCATCAACTATTTGATCTAATGGGTTGCGTTAATTGTCTTTACTCACTCGTAACATAGTATTATTTGTGTCAGCCAACTCTGAGACATCTGGCTTTGAGCACTCTGCGTCACCTTATAGAAAAAGATCCGGTTAGTAACTATGCAGTTCAGCAATTTGCATTACACACACTTGTATATATATGTGAGTATATATATGCATGAGTGTGGTTTAGCAAGCACTTCACAAAACATTTCATGCTGGAAGTATTAGAATAGGCTGAATAATCTTTTAATCAAGAAGAATATACACCTATAATTTAGCGTCCCAAAGTCTGTACAAGATGAATAATTTTTTCCCCCAATTATGTGTCAACCTAAAAAAAATGCACCTTGAAGGCTGAAGAAGAGGAACTGCTCTCATATAGCTGCATTAACAGAAGTAATCTTTGTTAGTGTTCAGATATCCTAATCTATTAATCATATAAGTGCTTCTGATCCCCCTTTTACCTGATCTCTCCTTTGCTTCGACGGATATTCGTTTGTTATTTATATAAATTTAGTGTCACAAGCTGATTTAGCGACTTTATAATTGCAGGTTTCCATAATTGATGAACAAATAGAAGAAACCTTGTTCCATATGTTGGATGAGGAAACTGATACAGAGTAAGTTGTGTCTCTGTGTATCCTGTGAAAGCTTCTTATGCTTTGGCAATTTATGCATTGGAAGATGCCCGACCTGTTTCATTTTTCATGTATACACAGTTTTGTATTTTTAAAATATTTTAACAGTGTTTTAGAGTTGAAATATATTAAATTTGTGTAAATATCATTTATTACAATAGGTATTGCAATTGAATTTCTTTGAGCAACGGCCAATTAGGATATAGTACTGCAGTATGGTCCCATATTGCTCAGCTGAAGAATATTGATAATGCTTACAATGTGAATAAACGATCATTTAAATCAAATATGCCCTATTATCTCAGCGGCATTATCATATCTTTGCAATAAATGTTCTTGTTTAGAGTTGCCTGTCTAGAAATGGTGGAAACATGTCTTGATTTTCTCTTCTAAGGTCGTGCTTTAGGTCATTGATGAATAACTGATTTTCAAGTTCATGAAGAAGAGCTCAGATTTGTAATTACTGGTGTATACTTGCCTCTGGTTATAAGTTTTGAATATCACATTCTTTGGCGATGTTTCAAGGACTGTGGTGCCCAACTGAAATTGCATTTATAGATAGATGCATCCTTCTCTGAATGCACAGATAGATGCATCCTTCACCATATGTTGTATGCATGTCCTGCTTTGTTGTATCAACTGATTTGATAAAATGTTGTCTATGGTTTCCTACAAAATTTTGTTTCTCTTTCTCAGAATCGGCAATTTAGCACGTGCCACTATTATGAGATTGCTTCATGCATCATGCCCTTCACGTCCGTCCCATTGGCTGTCAATATGCCGTGACATGGTAACTTCCAACCTTCACACTTCATACTTCATATGTATTGATATGTTTTACAATGAAGAATAAAAAGAAGCTTATATACTTTGTTCGATAAATTGGATGACAAGTAGGAAAGAGAGTGTACGTGTGAAAGTGTAGTACTTTCTGTTTGCTACAATCCTATCTAATTTGGTAAGTGTGGGGAAAAAAGAAGAGTAATTGGTCCTATGACCAATCTTTCTGTTTGTTCACAAAACTTCAACTTAAAATTCAGATTCTTTTGTCTTATGATCAATGTATGTTTCTTTCTCACCCAACTTCATAATGGTAAAAGAGTAAGACACATGAGTGTTTAGAGGGTTGTATGTTATTCTAAGGAAAAGAAAATTTCTAATCAGATATTGCTAAATTGTAGGATAACAATGTATTTGGAAGAGATTGTGAAAGTGCATCTGATTTTAGCTAATGTCTGAGTTACTACCATAGTCTGAAACAAGAATGGAGAACTTAGAGGCAAGGTTTTTTTCCATTTTATCGCCTACTTTAGGAATGTTACGGCTTATTGCTGATTAAGCAATGTCCCACTCTTAATAATGAATATACGCTCTACAGTTCTGTCCTCATCTTATTTTACTAGTCTGTCGCTATATCCAGCTTCCTGTTCGTGTCTAATAGAGATATATGTCTAGAATTATCTTTAGAAACTTGCAAGTGATCTTCTGTGTAGCCAGTCAATTAGTTCCTGGCATGTTGAAAAGAAGAAGCATGTCTAGCATCTCACATCTATTTTCAATATTGGTATATATGTTCATAGAATGATCTGTACAAAGAGCACCGAAGTTCATGGTACTGCAGCAGTATCTGAGTTGGGAGCTTGAAATTAAACTTTTTCTGTTGTACGGTTGTATGAAGCGCTCGTTTTGAGAGATTTATTTTGGACAATCATGATGCACTTTGGTTTCTCATTCATGTTCCACTTCTTGCATTTGTTCTTTACTCACTATGTATTAGTTTGTTTTAGTTGAGTAAGGTTTGCACATGGTGAGGTGGGGTGTTTCGAGTGTTGGAATCATTTATAATTGGAAGGTTTGGCTATTTTTCTTTTTTCATAGCACTTACCAACTGTTTAAGATTACTGAGATACTCTTTGAATGGAATGGAATTGTGCCATAGTTGGTTTCATTTATGGACATGCGTAAAGAATTGGGTTCCCAGGCTGAGGTAGATTGGATTTACTTTCTAATTTCACAGTGATACCATTTGCTTGTGCTTTTTCGTTTGCTGAGTGGATGCCTTTTATATCTAAAAAGTAGAAACATCCAAAGTTGATCTAAAATTGTTTTTAATGAACTGTGTAGATTCTTTCTACAACTTCAAGATATAATACAAGCAAGAGTAATAATAGGGTGAATGATTCCTCAACTGGTCTGGATGGTGAGAACAGTTTGGATATTGGGAATGATGATGAGAACATGGTCTCTAGCTCCGGAGGTGTATCATTTCGCAGTTATAAGCTCGACTACTCCAGTCCTATCTTCTCAAGGGATAAGCATCTCAGATATAGAACAAGAGTTTTTGCTGCTGAGTATGACATCGATTTTTACATTTCTTATCAGTCTTGCTCCAGCCAAATGAACTTTATCTTCCATATTTGCATATTTTCTTTCCCTTGAAACTCTGTTCACATTTGTAATTATTGGTTCGGCTAGTAGAGAAAAAAATTATGAGTTCATTATTGCATCAGTATTTTGACATTCTTGAATTATAATGTATTTGACATTTGATTGTTATATTCATGCCCAGTGGTTGTCAAATACAACGATTTGTTTTGCTGAAAGTAAGCCAAGAATCATGTACTGCCTCTTACATTTGGAAAAATGAAAGATTTGCCCATTAGGAAGATAGTTTTTGTTCGTAAATGTTATCTGGTTATAGTTGGAAAAATAATTAGTTCATATTCCAGTCAAACACAGATGGTGAAGTTTATTGCGCCACAGTATATTGGTTCTACAGAAGTTATATACTTCTGAGTTCTTATTCGTAAAACCTGCTCGGGTGAATTTGATGTATGTACAAAAAATGTGGGGAGCTTCATTGAGTACTGTATTTTTGACAGAACAATAATATCCCAAGTTTCACGAGATTTTATGAAATTAAAACATGAAAGAATTATGTGTACCATGAATACTTTTGACACTGTCTGATGCATTATTTGTTGTTCTTATGTCACAATATGATGCAATATGTACTGATACATAACAGATTAAGACAAACCCTTTATTGCCCCAAGGTTTTGACTACACCATGATTGCAATAGGTGCTTAAGTCATCTTCCTGAAGCTGTTGGAGAAAATCCTGCTCATTTTGACCTCTCATTAGCAAGGAGACAGTCTGCTAAGGGGCGCCTTTCTGGGGACTGGCTGGTTCTTCAATTGCCAGAACTCATCTCTCTTGCTTATCAGGTGCTGAATTGTTCATTTTAAAAGTGTGTGATAGGTGGAGGGAGGGAGGAAAAGATGGAGGGAGTAGTTAGGTGATTTAAAGATGAAGAAATATGTGCATAAAGTTATTGCCCTCGTTTTATTTTTTTTTATTGGTTCATATTATACAACTATAATTTATGAATAGAAAAGACACAACTGGTTAATTTATTGTCTGTATACCATATATTGTTTTCTTAAGAATGACGGGAAAATATTGTCTTTATCGAAACATTGCGTCAGATAAAGTTGCACACAACTTACTCTAAACGCAACAACTATACATTTTATACATCTATCATATGTTTCTTGTAGATAAGCACCATTCAGTTTGAGAAAATGCGGCCAATCGGTGTTTCACTTCTGTGTACAATTATGGACAAGGTACTTCTGACATTTTAAGCGATTTCTATATTAATCCTTGTCTTCTCATGAAACTATAAAATATTTGTGTTGCAAATGGAAGCATATAACTGGTGCGACTTGATGGTGAAGCTCTATGGACAAAATCTATCATTATATAAAAAGAATAACCTTTTTATAAATTTAGAAACTTTTTCCCGCCAAAATCATTAAGTATATCATATATATAGTAATTGTTGGACAAATCTGAATAGGCAAAAAAATTCGCTCATTAATTGTGTAAAGATTTGTTTCTCTTTTTCCTGTTTCTTAGTTTATCGTTTTAACAATAAATATTTGTTTTTCTTTTTCCTATTTTTAGTATAAATCTACACGAGCTTATCTCTTCTATTACAAAATCTCATTGCATACGATCTTACGTGTTTAAAAAATCTCATCTCTTATCTATACAGAATTGAAAAAATAAAATAAAATAGAAATCAATTCATAATTACTACTAGAAATCCATTATCTTTAAAAAGAAAAAATAAAATAAAATTAGAAACTAATTCATAATTACTACTAGAAATCCATTATCTACTTTAAGAAGCTAATTTTCATCGGTCTAATTACTAATATTTTTACAAATATTCTAAGCTAACCATACAAAAAAAGTATAATAATAATTTTGAAATGGCGTGTAATTAATTTTTTTTATATTCTCTTATACAAAATCATTTTACATTGTTTGACTCTGAATCTTTAATTTATAATTATTAAGCATTATTTGTCCTCCTCTTTTATTTATAATTATTTTTTTTCTTCCTCTTTTTAAATACGATCAATAGTAGTTTTCACTTCCGCCATTGACTCAAACTCGAGGTCTATTTATAATATTGTTAATTTAATATTGTTCTCGTGCATCGCACGGGGTACACACTAGTTTTTACTTAATGGAACTTGATTNCTGTTAATGTAAATATGAAATAGGTTAGTTGCAACAGTTAAGGACTATTATCGTCTCAATTATGAAAAAGATTTATCTTTGGATTAACGCCAAAACATTAAATATGGACTTCAACTATTTCTCACTTTTTGCAACAATTCTTTTGTTTCCAATCCACTAGAAATATTTTATCCCAAAAATTTCCTTCTATAATGGTTAGGTTTTGAATGATGTAATTCTTTTTTGTCATAAGAGCATAAATCAAACTTTTGACAGATGGAATATGTTGTCGATGGTGGAAATTGGTTGTATAAAATTGTAATGACAGCATGAACAGCTCTTAAATTTGTAATTTCGGAGCATTGGTGAAAGTATCTGGTGAAAGTTTTCCATTTCCTAATTGATCTGGCGCTCACTTAACCAACGTGATCTTGGATTTAAATCTGAATATGATTGATTTTGAGCTGTGTTTCATCAGAAGTTTTATGGCTGAGTGATCCCTTTTTTTGTTAGTTTGCCGCAGTTTCAGACCCCGAGCTTCCTGATCACCTACTTTTGGAACAGTATCAGGTTTGCTACCTTGCATGCTTTATTTGCCCTTCATGCAAACTTTTCTCCCAATCTCTATGATGATTATTGGGCTCTCTCTTAAGTCTAAACTTTCTAATGCCTCATTGGTACACGCGTTTTTATCAAGAGTGAACTTGTTGTCTATTTGAAATTTACTCACTCTAGGCCCAGCTTGTGTCTGCTGTTCGAAGTTCATTGGACTCCTTTTCAGGCCCAACTTTACTGGAAGCTGGTCTGCAACTAGCCACTAAGGTATAAATTGGAAGCAGTTGGTTTTGTTTTCTGTGATGAGTTGACATTTATCAATCAGATGGTTTTGGATGATGAAATTTCAGATGCTAACAAGTGGGATTATTAGTAGAGATCAAGCTGCAGTCAAGAGAATATTTTCTTTGATTTCACGTCCACTAGATGACTTTAAAGACCTTTACTATCCATCATATGCCGAATGGGTCTCATGCAAGGTTCATTTACCTTTGACCAAATTACATAGATGTGACGTAGAAAGAAAAATACTGAATTGTTCTGTGCTTAACAATATTTGATTTAGCATCAGAAAATTCAATTTGACCTAAAAAGAGCTTCAGCCATATTTTATTTCTTATTAATTTCAGATCAAAGTGAGGCTCCTCACTGTCCATGCTTCTCTTAAGTGCTACATGTTTGCATTCTTAAGCAAACAAGGCGGTGAAGTTCCTGATGAGTATGTATCTCTACTGCCGTTGTTTGCAAAGAGTTCAAGCATTCTGGGGACATACTGGCTGTCATTTTTGAAGGACTACATCTTTGTACGCTTCCACTTGCATTTAGGAGATGTGAGTTTGAAATTTATTTTTCCTCCACTCTGCTACCTGCTTCAACTAACAATGTATCATCCCAGGGAAAATACTTTTACCTTCCAATACTTAACTTTGTCTTCTATTTCATGTGTCATGTAGTGGAGACCACTGCTTGATGGTATTCAGTCATCAAGTGTTTCAGTTGAGTTGCAGCCGTGCTTAGAAGAAGCTTGGCCTGTAATTTTGCAAGCTTTGGTGATGGACGCAGTACCTGTGGATTGTAATATGAATGGATCTTCTCCAACAAATGGATCAAAAGATATTCCTACTTCTGGGTACAGCATGGTGGAATTGCAGTTGGATGACTTTCAGTTTCTATGGGGTTTCTCTCTCCTGGTTCTATTTCAGGAGCAAGATGTTATTCTTGGCAGAAATATTATACCAGTTATCAAATCCAAGTTCAGTAGTGACTTCCTAGTTGATGATTCCATTTCTTTATCTTCAGAGTTAAACAACATTTTCTTCCCTGTGTTTAAATTTATGTCCACGGAAAGGTTCTTCAGTTCTGGATTTCTCACCCTGGATGCTTGTAGAGAGTTAGTGCAGGTACATACGTATATTCATCATCAATCTTACATCAATAAGGGTAATAATTTCTTATTTTTGTGTTCGTAGTTTAAGAATGGTACATATGAGGCAGTCTCTCTTACTATAAATGTATATGATATTCTTCTTATAACTCGTCATTGAAGTTAAATGTGGCCACAGGCCCACAACCAAATTCAATATGGAAATTTCGCAGTCAGTTTCTGTAGGGAAGGAGGGTTTACTTTCTTGCTTTCTAGTTAAATCTGTAATAGAGCTTCTTGTTCCAGTTGGTCAGATAGCATGCAATCAAAGGCAAAAATCAAGCCTTAAAGTTCATAATACTACCATTTCCAGGTTATGTCTCTTAAGACAGCCATAGAATGCTCTAAGATGACCGCCTACTTTGTCCTAATTCAGATGTGGACTGTTCTTTTCTGAAATTATTCAGAAATTAGGTTGAAATTGTTGAAGCATAGGCAAGGATGGAACTCTACTACTGACTTTACTGCTTGTCGGTCTATTGAATGGATGCATGTTTTTCCTCAATCACGTTGTTTGTTTCTGGAAAAATAAGAGTGACGATAGAAATTATCTGCTCTCTAAATTCCTTTCTTTTGGCTTTTGCTATCATCCTATTTCTCATCTATTTCAGTAATTTCTTTCCTATCAGGTGCTATAGTTTCCTCGAAATAGAAAATTCTAAACTAAATGGAATGTAAACAAGAATTTAGATGCGTGTGATTCATGCAATTTCGTGACTGCTTAAACTTCATTTGTAGAAGCCTTCGTGCTCTGTTATACCACACGTTCTTTGTTGGAAAAGTTCTTTCTGTTTCAAAAAAATTGTGATGGACCAAACAATCAAGAAACTGCGATTTGTTGTCCTTCAATTGAGTGTATTTTCATATGGTTTGTGTAAATCACACAGTTTGACAAAAAGTCCACGACGCACTTCAGTATGGTATAGGGTTGAAAAATATCATTGTCTTAGCTCATACCTTAGCAATTTGAAATCCACCATCTAATGTTCTCTGCAATAGCTAGTGCTGAAAGGAAGATTGTCATGTTTTCTTATTTAGGTATTTAGGCACCTTTGCATGCTGATTGTAGTAGAACTTAAATAGTTTAGTTCCACGAAATCTTTCTTGCTAGCTGCCAAGTACTGAATTGTTTCATTAACCTAAAGCAGTAACTCCCCTATTTTTACTTTTTTCTCCATGGATGCAGATTTTTTCATATTTAATTTGCAGAGAAGATACGTGGGATTGTCTGGCAATCTTTTTTATATCTCAGGTAAAGGTTCTGATATTTTATATAACTGATCCAGATTTTGCCAATGACACCAACCATATGTAGTGCAAAGACATAGCTCAACTGAAAATTATCTGTCTTGTAGCTGTGCTGTAAATTTTGCTGCTTTGTATTTGGTCACAAGAAAATGGTGAAAATAACAACATGATTATTGGTTAATATAAAAAGGAGAATCCTCAAGTAAATTGCTTTCTTCTTCTCCTTTGTTGAAATCAATGCTATGCTCTGTTGCCTTATCTGTAGAATTTGATGTAGTTGCTTAGAAATGCTTGAGTAAACAAATCAGTATTTGACTATTTTGTTAATCCTTGAAACCTAGCATTACAAATGTAATTTTGTTAGCTCTTTTCTTGGCTGGTCTGGCAGGTTGTTCAAAACTGTCCGAAACATTTCCTTGAAATGGACGACTTTTCATATTTGGTGATGGAACTATGTTTGTCATCTGTTTTCAAGTTCTTATCAAGGTAATAATACATCATAGTAAAAGTATTCTGAGAACAAATGGTTTGAAGATATTTGAAACGCTTTATGTTCAGCAGTGATATACGTGATCGACATCCCTCAAGCTTGGAAAAAAATATTTCTGTTGCACTAACCACTGCATCAATATTATTGGAACGCTATAAAGTTCAGGTAGATAAACAATTCAGTATGTTGAAGAAAAAGCCATTACAGTATTCTTGATAAGAAAAACTCTATATTTTTAGAAGCCAATACACTGAAAGCCATGTGTTGCCTTAGGATTCTTTCATTTCTTACTAGCAACTTGTGTGATGCAGATGCAGCTAAAATTCTTCTTGCCTCTTCTCTTGATTGGTTACAAGTGCATTGGAGAATCATCGTCCGACGTACCTCTATCAAGAGCTAACAGTTTTGTCCAGTCTATTTTTTCCTTACTAAAGAGAGTTGGTAAGTACCTGATAGCCAAGTATTGTGATGATTTCTTGAACTACTTCTGCGGTTTATCATCAGCATGTTATAATTTCTTGTTATATATTTGCAAGTCGTTAACAATCATTTACAATATGACTTCTTGAGTGCAATTGTAAATTGTAATTTACTTTACCTTTTTTACTAGCTACTGTAGTGACAAATATGTTGATTTTACGTATGGAAAATTACAAAACAATTCAAGCACACTTTTCAATTTTGGAAATATGAGGCACAACTTTGCAACTTTTTGCTAATTGAGGCATGGAGCTAGGTTTAGGTTTCAGTGATAGATGAATGATGTGGCCGACAATATTTCATCAACATGGCTTGTACGACGAATGAACAAAAACAACAATTCAGTTCCTCCCTTTGTTCTCCCCAACTGAAGATGTTACACCAATCTACAATTCTGCAATCTATTAGAACACAACCCTCTTTCTTATTCTCCAATCTGACTCATTACATTAGACAGCAAATAGAAGTCCAGCGACCACATCTGAAAGGTACTAAAAAATCTGGGGAAAAAGTAGCAGCGGATCTAAGGCACACATGAAGCCGTGAGATCTATAGTTTGAGGCAACGTATATAGGGTTTCAGGGGCTTAGGTGGTGGGTTGTAGGATTTGGGGCAGTGGGTGTGCTTAGGCTTCACGGCTTCAGTTTAATTCGAGTTTCTAGCCTTGGTTGATAAGGTAGCTTGGGGAAACATAACTGAATTTGATCGGACTTTGGTATCGTGTAAGTTATGGTGGCAAGTGGTGGTAGAGATGGTATTTTGTGCTTGCTTTTTATTTTATTTTTTCCCGTTTAGTTTGCCGACAGCGGTGGTTGCAGTTCTCAATTTCTTGACCTATC